TATGCGTTTATCCGCGCTATTTTTGGCTGTAAAAAAGAGGGGAAGCAATGGTTTGACTCGCTCTCTTCAATATACGATAGAATTTTGAGCGCTGCAATCGTTCAAATCAAAATGGTTCAAAAGTTATGTGAGTTCTCCATTATTTATGCTCCGAACCAACCCAGTTAGTTTGGTGATAGTCTGGAAACCAACAAATTCGGGAACGGGTATTATGACACATTTTCAAAAACTTTTGCATAATGTGTCTTGGAGTAATATTCTATACATACACATAGCCAAAATTCGGTGCCATGTGATTGCTTGTACACCGTAAACAAGCCATTTGTTTATTCGAGAATCAATTTGAATTTGGCGCGCTTGATGAGAAAGAACACGTGATATTCATGTACTAGCTTGATGGTCAGCATATCCCGAGTTCCTTATGCGTATGTTTAGTAGATTTTACGATACCCCGTAGCTTTTAGTCTAAAAACGAAGTTCAGTTTGACCGCAAACCATCTGTGCCGGGCCTGGGGAGGGAGTTGGGGCACTTCGCCAGTAAGTTATAATAGTGAGAAAAGATAAACACAAACAGATTGATTTAAACCGTAGAAGAAAGTTGGCCCCTGGCACTTATGACCCTCTTTGGCCTAATCTTTGTCTCTAAAAATCGCAATGAAAACCTAAGCCAGGGGTGAACTTTCTTCAAAGCTTAAATAATTTGAGAGTAGTGATTTTCAGGACCCCGCCTCTTTTTTGGTCTCTATTCGCTAATCGCCGAAGAAGTATGAAACTACTTTGTAATAAAAACCATAGCTTACCTAGCATGCCTATCTTCACAATAATGTTGGCACTGCTTCGCTTCGGGTGTTTCACATTCGTTAATCTGGGAACATGTATGTTCACCTGGGCTCAGCTCTGATCCATGGGGACAGATGCAGTGGGAACCGGAAATTGAGATTATGCCTAGGTTTCGAACCTGTACCTTAGAGTAAAACTTACCAAGTGGCGTGTTAACGCATTTATATTCGCAAGGTATCTTTCTTGTGCTACATTCGTTACAAAGTGGACCTTCATCATCTCCATTAGGGCAGTCGACGGTTCCATCACAGGTATGATTTGACGGTATGCAAACCTTACCTATACGACAGGTTAACAGTCATAACAAAAAGTTAAACTGTGAGATTACCGTACCTCCGCTGCACCTGTGCTCTCCCGCTTTACATAATTCTGTTACAGTCTCAGCTAAGAAGTTATCCACGGATAACTCGCAGTCTACTTCGTCACTTCCATCCAGGCAGTCCTTTTCTCCATCGCAGACCCAATTCTTCGGGAAGCAGGCCGCATGATCCGCGCATAAAATCATACCCGGCTCACAAGAAGTGAGCTCATGACTTCGTAGTTCGGATTGCTTATTTTTGGTACAGTTACGTTCGTCATCTCCCAAGGGACAATCCTAAATGGGCGGGTTGCGCCACGGTAAATATCTCAGAAAAGTATCGTTATGTCTTAGTAGGTTTGACTTTTAATATAGCATTTGTCGTTGCCAACAGCATTTGTGCGTAAACGATAGCACTAACACGGGAAGGATACTTGGATGCCGTGGCCATTCATGATCATATGTATACCAAAAAATGCGCCTTTAGGCCATTCATAATGATTTGTATACCAAAAAGTGCGCCTTTAGTATATCAAAAAATGCGCCTTTAAATGCTGGTTCGTAAACTGTTACCAAAAAATGCGCCTTTGAATGCTGGTTCGTAAACAGTTCTCTGCGAAACGATAACCTGAATGGAGTTATGATTTTTTTCCATTAAAAATTGCGTCTGCGAAACGATAACCTGAATGGAGTTATGATTTTTTTTCATTGAAAAATTGCGTTACTGCGGAGGGTCAGAATCATTAATAGAAAATTTTCTCTCCTTTTCAATTGCTGAGTTGATTCAGACAGTCTAAATAAACAGTACTACGTCTGAAATTTTCTTCAGTAGCATCAAACGGTAGCCTAGATGAAATCTGGTGATTTCTACTATCCGAAAGTAGGCTAAATTTTTAAGAAAAAAGCTCATAACTACCTTCGC